CAGAGCACCTCGCGTGAATGCTGAACAGCAGATACGTGGATCCTCTCTAGAGGGTTCCCATAACTACCTCTGCCTGCCTGCTGGTGGTGGGTAACTGGGTGATGCTAGAAATGGAGTAGATGCCAACATAGCTTCTGCCAAGCCAGCCCCTGGTGTATCAGTGAAATAACCACAACAGGTCTCTTTCGGGACCTTGTGGATCTCCTTGACCATGCATATCTTCATACCTTGCTTGTAGAAGGCAGGATCAGGGGGGCCAGGCCACAGCGGTGGGGAGGTAAACAAGCCAGGTGGTAGCGCAGGGAGCAACTTTCACAGGTTTACCTCTTGCCATCCTCCCTCTCTACCACACTGGCGTCTGGATCTAAGGCATCGATAACTTCCTTTCTGCTCCTGTAGCATTTCCGATCAATTCAATGAAGCTATCCCTGTGATTATTCACAATGTTGTCAAAAGTATTTTCTTTACGAATTTTGGCATTTGAAGTCTGCATGGATGGAAGAAATTTTTTTTTCCCATTTAATAAAATTTTGTATTACCAGCAGAGCTATAGAGTCTTCACTCTTCCTTATCAGAGCCACCATCTTGTCCACTAGGTGACCCTGGCACACATTGCAAGATGGTCAGCCAAGCCCTTTGCCCTGGATGCTGATGTCTGGACCCTTTTCTGACTTAGCATGCAACCCACTTCCCTGGGCTCCTGGCTTGGGGTCCTCCTTCTTCATCATGACCCAAGGAAGCCCTTTATTTATACACCCCTGGTAACATGAACCTGATGCAGTCCCGATGTGTCCACCTCTTTTTTCAGTTCTCAAAACCTCTCGTCTTTGCCAGCCAGGGTTTTCCCCAAAGAACAGCTGTAACAGTCTGTACTTTATTGAAGTTATTAATTTAGTCAGCCAGTATCTGCTGCGTGTCCACTATGAGCACTGGCATGGGTACAAATCTTCTGTACACAAACGCAAATGAAACAAGGCTCCTGACCTCAAGGAGCTGATGCTAAGAGGCAGGCTCCAAAGGAAGGAAGCACAGTATAATCCTGAGCTTAATCCACCCATGGAAAGAGGCTCAAGGAAATGCTATTCAGAAGGAAACTGAAAAAAAAATTTCATTATGATGATGTTTCATTTAGTATCTAGTGCTTTCAATCTGATCAGGCACAAAGCAATTCTTACAGGAAATCCAAGCAAGGCAACACAAAGCCCAAGATGCCACAGTGACAGGCCAGGCTGTGAGCAGGGTTATGGAAGAGGCCACGGGCCAGCAAACTCCAGGGCAGCTGCACCTGCCAGTGTCTCGCTAAGTGACTCATGTAGCCGTGGCCAACACTACACGTAGCCACTAATGTGCATGTTAGAATAAATGTAGACTGCAATGAGGGCTGGAGAACTCGAGGACTCAGGGCGGCAGAACGTGTGGGCAGCCCCTGCGGGCACCGAGGCTGGCACTGCAGGGCAGCTGGGCAGAGAAGGGCAGCCGGCCAGTCTGTTGAAAGAACAGCAGTATGTTCAGACTCTCCCACATTCTGCAGCTCTTCCCTGAGCTGCCTGAACTTCAAGTCAACCTTCCCAGTAGAAACTGGTGAGGAGGCAAGGCAGATCCATGGCACCTGTGAAGTTCAAGGACGTGGGATATGAACCCGCAAAACATAGGCGCTTGCAAGAATCCATTTGAAGGGATAGACAGAATCTTTTTTATTTAGTCAAGAGTTTTTACTGCTTAGCTCTTCACCTACAAAACTTAAATATCAATATGCTTAAATGACCCTGGTTCCAGGGAAACCTATACTTACATATAAATATACTTAAAAAGTTTTGAATATGTGTGCATCTATAGAGAAAGTCTCAATTGGGGCAGAGGAGGAAATTCTTTATAGAGAAAAATGAGCAGAGATTCTGAGCTCTGTTTCCACATTAGAGGGTGCTCCAAGCTGGAGTTAGAAAGACTGCTGTCTGCTCACAGGTCTAAGCCAAGCCAAGCCTTCCTAGCCTCCTGTTACTTAGCCGGATTATCAGTTTCTGCAGTGCTTTAGGTGCTTCAAGTGAAAAACTCCCAGTTTCGATCTTAGCACAGTGCAATGCATAAGTAGAGGAAAGGGGACTGTGATCAATTACACTGAGCCACACAAAACATCCGTATCTTTTCCTAACAGTGTATGCAAATAATAATTTATACCTGGTATCTTAAAACTAGTCAAATACAATCATTAAATTATATTTGTATTTAATATATAGAGACAATACTCCTATGAAATGAAAATAAAATTTTTTGGATAGTTACAATTTATTTTATATTATTAATTTTAATTTTAAAAATAAAAAATAGTAAAAAATGGAAACAATACAGAATTTCACTACACAGTGATAGGAATTCAACAATGGCCGTTGTATTGCATACTGAGATCTTCAAATTAGTTGTTCAGATTACCAGATATAAGCATGCAAAATTGGTCAAAAAATTTAAAAAGAAAAATAAATATTAATGGTTCCTTTTGATAGATCAGTAAAGATCTGGCCAAATAGCTCAGTGGATTAAAGTGCCTGCTTAGGCAGAGTGCAGCAGCCTGGGTTGGATCCCCAACGTGCCTCGTGCCATGCCGGCCCTGCCCCCGGGGCACGCTGAGACAGTGATGGAGACTGGGCGTGGTGGAGTGCGCCTGTAATCCCAGCACTTGGGAGGCTGAAAAACAGGAGAATCATTAGAAGTCTGATCTACATAGTGAGACACTGTAGGCCCTGTATTAAGTACATAAAAAAATCAATAGACCAGTAAAAATCAGCAGTACAATTATTCAAGTATCCTGTGCACATACCTATTTTCCCTTCCTTCCTTCATTTTTTTTCTCCTTTCCCTCATCTCAGTTGTTTCTTCTCTTTAAACAGTCTTTCCCTTTCAGAGCATCTATAGTGTTTCATCGACATTAGTAATCACAGCCAGCATGCATACTTTTGGAAAACAAAACATTGTAAGGTGAACACAATGGATTTCTTAGGCTAGAATTCAAGACTTAGCTTCCCGCAGTGCAGTCTCTGCAGGTTGGTGTCTTGCCTGCATCCCCACCCCTTGTCTTCTACAGTAGATACTGGGAAGGTAAAATCTAACCCTTGCAGGCCCTTCTGTGCCTCAGAATCTCAACTGAGTCCCATCATTGCCAAGGAAGTCCATACCAGAATCTTCCGGACAGCTCAGCGAAAGCCTTTTTCTTTCTGAGATTGCCATCGTTATTTCTTCCCCAGTTTTATGCCTTTTTATATTTTCAGAAACACAAACTTAATGGCTTTAAACACACTGGCTTTTTGTCAACATTAAAGTAAAAAAAAAAAAAAGGCTGCAGGGAACAGTCAGTAATTCCATGTGTATGACTGTAAAACCATCTCTGCTGCAATATTATTGCTAAAGCTAGATAAAATGAACGTGGATCTTGCACTCTAAAGAAATGCCCTATTACTATTTTTAATACCGAATTATCACTGCCAGCTCCATGTACAGGTAGATTATCTCAACAATAGATCCTGGTCAAATTTTTCTTATGCTCAAAGAAAAGAGGGCTAGTGATATAACTCGGTGGTAGCACTCTTGTCTACCATGTGTAAGCCCCTAGATTCAACTATTAGCACTGAAAAAAATACATATATTATTTTTTATTCCATATTAAAATTATTTGAGAATGAAGTATATTAATTCAACTTGATTTAGAGGAGGACATAAAATTCACTTGTGCTATATGTACTCTAGCACTACATGAAGAACTGCATTATAGTGTGAGGTATTAAAGATGTGGTGTTTTAAATTTTTGCATTAAGAGAAAATGGAAGTTTGAAAAACAGCAACAGATGTAACTGACATTCCTATATAATTATTTTTTAAAAATTGAATATTTTTTTCATATTGCTTTTCCATCAAAACTAGATATTCTTAAATCTTAAACACCAATTCTAAATACTTTGGCATCACTAAATGGTCTGACAGCTCAAGAAATATTGAGAAGGGCTGGGAAGAAGGCTCAGTGGAATAAGCACTTCCCTGGCAAGCGCAAGGGCCTGAGTTCAATCCCAGGTTCCACAAAAAAAAAAAAAAAAAAAAAAGAAAGAAAGAAAGAAAGAAAGAAAGAAATATTGAGGAATTGATTTTCAGGAGTGTAGGGTAACTTTTTTTAAGCTTATATGATCAAGTAGTTAACTTTTTAGTAGAAAGAATTCTGAACAAACTATTATCTAAGATTTTAGCGCAAATTACAAAATACTAGTGTCTAGCAGAGATGGTAAGGAGCTGAACCAAAAAAACCCCATATTTAATCTTTTATGTTGTCCTAGGGTCCTTTCATATTTAATAAAATGTAAATTTTAAGGAAATAACCCTTCTTAATTATTTAATATTTCCAAATGCTCAGTTATACTGTTTGCCTCAGGGTACAGTTAAATAAGAATTTTGTATAGTCTTATTACTATCCACATGACCATTTTTTTTTCCAGTGGACTTCTTCCAATAGTTATGTAAGCAATTAAAATTTCATGCATAAATTTTTACATCCCATAGATGTTTCATTTTCTTTCTCCCTTTCTTTTTCTTTACTCAATTATTTATTTATTTATTTATTTATTTATTTATTTATTTTTTTCAGAACCAGGGATTGACGTCAGACCCTTGTGCTTGCCAGGGAAGCACTTATTCTACTGAGCCATCTCCCTGGTCCCATTTCATTTTCTTTCATGATGGCATTATACCATTTTTATTTTTGTTCTTAGAAATATGGAACAGAAGGGCCAGCAAGATAACTCAGCCAACTAAGCTCCTGCTTTGGTAAGCCCAGGAACCAGAGTTCAATTCCCAGTCCTGTACACTGCACCAGCCCTGCTCCTGGGCTGCGCTGAGCTGGTGACCGAGTGTTGGCATGGTGGCGCACACCTACAGTTCCAGTACTGGGGAGGCTGAAAACAAGAGGATCACGACAAGTCCCACCTGTGTAGTGAGACCCTTACCAAATATATGAAAATGAATAAATAAATATGGAAAACTACACAAATGTGGGTGTCATCCATTCATAGTGGCCATGCTAATCTTCTCTGTATTGTTCAAGTTTTACTCTATGTGCTACTGAAATAAGCCTCATAAGTTTTTCTTAGTAATTATCCAAAGACAACTCATAAAACTGTGTAGAGTGTAAAGAGCCCATAAATTCCCATGTGAGAGAGTTGGCCTTTATGTTACTTGAAATCTAAATCCTTGCACATGCATATGCTAGGCTCTATTTCTAATAACATTTCCTGTAACTTCGCCCTTTCCCAGTATTGCTACCCACCACGGAGAATCTACTACAGAGATGCTGGTAACAAACCAGAAAACAAGGAGATCACGGTCCCATCCCTGCCCCGGCTCTGCCATTCCACTTTCCTCGGAAGCACCCAGTTCCTGGAACACAGTGTCCCTTCCTCACTCCCTCTGCTCAGTTGCTCCAGAGACAGGAGACCTGTCTTTCAAGGGAGATAAAAAGATTGGCCTTTTAAAATGGTACACGACTTTGTAAGTGCTGGAGTCTGAAGCCAGTTTGTAACAAGGAACAGGTCCTGTTATCTCTATCTAGATAAAGAGGAGTGAGTCACCCCCTCCCTTTCCAGCTCTCTCTGCACAATCACACACTTAACACGCTGTTAAGATCTCAGGCTTCAGACCCAGGAGGCTATCCAATCTGGCTGCTAACTCAAACAACTCATTCAACATTCTGAGTCTCAGTTTTTGTGATGAAGCCAAGACAATAACACAATCTATTTCATAAGGAGCAAGAAGTGGCTTAAAAGAAAACTGAAGTCATATGTATCAAAACTGTTATAGACTGGAGAGCTTGATTTAGAATTTATTTATCCCTTAAGCAGGCACCTACCATTTGGTTATCAGCTAGGGTCTGAGAAGAAGAGAAAATATATTAGAAGTGGTATGAACATGGAATAAAAAATAAATCAGAAGATAGTCATTTTGGAATTAATCTCCACTCACTGTTCCATTGCGCATTGGTGGTTTTGGAGGTGAATAAAATGATCATTTGAAGGTGATCAAAGTGATCACAAACAACAACAACAACAAAACATCAGAAATTGTGTCAGTGCTTGTTTTATGAAATTTTCTGATACACTTTTGTCATGGCCACACTGACCCACGTCCACCCACTTTGGTATCTCCAATTAAAATGAGCTCACGTGCATCAGCAGGAAGATTTTTTGTCAATATGAACAGAAAAGAAGGAGAAAGAGACCTCAACACTGTTTTACATATATTGCTGTACCGTTTTATCTGACCAGGAAATCATCTTTTGCTGAGTCTGTAGCAAAAGAATGCTAAACGTTCTTAAAACCTGTGTTCCCTTGTGTTGGGTGGAAGTTTGTCCTCGTAGCTGAGCATTGCAACCTTTGTAATGACAGTCCATAAGCAAATGCTGAGAAAGCCTCTCAAATTTGGACTTCGTGCCTCTTTAAAGTTTCCCAGAAGACTACACACCTGAAAACATAGTTATTTCAAAAACATCTGCATATCACATTCCTGAGAATGAGGGCAAAATTTTCATGGTAGAAGTGAATTAAATGTGAATATACACAAGGCAATTGACAATTGATCATCTGAAGAAAAGAAATCAGTGAGAACAAAGAGGTTGTGTGAATGTGGAGTACTGTGTACATTAATTCCCTTACAAACACATGCATTCCAAAGATAAACTTACCATAGAAATTCTTAGGTCTTTACGTGTAATAGAAATTAGTGTAATATGTTTTTCCCTCTGACAGCTAGCTTAGTGGTAAAGTGATCGAAGGTTGATAAAGACAAAATTAGGTTTGAATAAAAAACTTTAAGCAGAACAAAGCCACAAAAAAGCACTAACCCTGTAGACTGTGACTGCTAAATGAATGGAGACATAAACACAGTGAATGCAGACTTGTTTCTCCGTGGTTCCTTGACCTCATATAATGTCCAAACTTTATGGTAAGTGAAACTTCAGGGTTTTGCTTTCTTGCAATATTGCTGAGACACATATAGTAGGTCTACAACAGCTCTCCCAAAAATGGCCCCAGTAAATGTTGAATGTGAATTGAATCTATTGAAACGCAAGTGGAGTAAACTCTGGACCACATCTTTTCCCCCACGGTTCAACAGCGAGAATTCCACAAGGCTGGAAGCAAATAGTTCTGTGGGCACATGGCTCCACACCCCACATCTGTACCAGGAGTATTCCTCTGCTTTCAATGTTTCCACGTGGACTAGAAAGTCCTCTTGCGCAGGCAATTGAGAATGATCAACATGAAGAAAGATAAAGATATAATATTGCACTTCAAAGGACAGAGAAATACAAGAAAGCCCCCATGTTCTGGAACTTGGTATGCTTCTCAAGCCAGTGCTTCCCAGTTATAGGAGTTTTCCTAGAAGGCCTTTAGGAATGCAACCAGATGAAATATTTCTCTCGAATATCTCTGTAGAGTTCAGATTTATCTAGCCTCAGACAGATGGAACTGAATCAATCTTCTTTTGATGCAACTCAGTAATTTGAATCATTTATGCAATATAAAATATTTACCATCCTGTAGACAACTAGAGTAGCTCATCAGAGTCTATGACCATGGAGAGAAGCTCAGGCACATAGCACTCAACAACAGAAGGATAGTAAGTAACGTCACAGGGAAAGTGGAGAATAGAACTGCAGTGATCCAGAATATGTGAACTTGTTTTACTTTAATAAAACATTTTGATGAAAAGTGGTAAGTATATTGAGCTCAGAGGTAAGTTCTTGTTCAAATTCAGATAAAGCCAAAATAGAAGAGAACTGCTTTAGCTTCATCATTATAAAGACTTTCTTCTGTACTTCCAGTATATTAATAACAGATCAAATTTGTGTCCAAATACGCTAGGTCTGAGGAGGACCCAAAACTATGACAAGGAGATATATCTTTTCGCAAGCACGGAGCTAGCTTCCAAGAAACAGAACTAGAGGCAAATCAGGAAATCAGTCCAAAACAACGGTCACCAGCTGAACTCAAAGAGGACTGAAGAGAAACCTTGGGGACCAACCGCACAAGTAGAATCCGTTTCCCACTGTGCAGCCATGCTTTACAGTCGGATAGAGACGGGACAGGAATTAGAGAATGGAAAAAGGCAGAAAGAGCCAAAGAAATTGCCTAGTAGCTTCTCTAATTTCTTTCCAGTTCATGAGTAAATGTACGGAAGGTGAGAATCATTACAGAGGCAGCTTCCAAACTGCCTTTCTACCTCGGGGGCTACAGTTTCACAGGTAAGAGCATAGCTTCACTGGTAGGCACAATTTTAATTTTTTCAGAGTCTCACTCAAAAATTACTGCTTTACTTTCTGAGTTTCAGTTTCTTTATTGGTAAAAGACAATCATGTCAATTTCTCTTCATTTCCCTTGTAAGAATTAACTGAGAAAATAATATTCTGAGAGTAAATGTGGTACAGTAAGTGCTGGCTATAGGAGATAACGATATTTTGTTGGGTCACAACACATCTGAATGCATGTTCAGTGTTAATTATTAAATTTTAATTAAAAACCACTGCATTATTCATGATTATCAATTTATCAACACAAGGTTTAAAAATAACAAGATAAAAAGGTGATTAGTAATTGGTAAACAGAGGTAAAATAAAGAAAAGACTAACATACAGGGTCGCTTTCCATGGTAGCATTTTATTCTGCTAAATTACCTTTACACTAAACTCCACATGAGAATGATAGCACAATATGAATTAGTGACACAAATTGCAACAGACACTTAGGGAAGAGGTGTGAGAAGTGTGCTGTGCAGAGATTTCTTGCAGGGTGTTTAACTGTGAGAAACACTGCTCTCCCCACCAGAAGGAATGAAGCTGTCACGGCACAAGGATGTGGCCCAAAAATGACAAACTACTCTCAACTTTCAACGTAAAAAGGGACATAAATCATATATCAAGATGTATTACCTTTCTGCCACGAGGTTAATAATCTAGTTTCTAGATTGTTGGCAAAGCATTTTTAGACCAAATTGAATTCTAATATTCTGTGGCTATCTCCCGCATATATATCTCAGTGAGTATGTTAATTTGAAATACCTACTTATTCATTTACTTAATATCTATTGATCAGCCTCTCAAGGGTCATCCTCCTCCCTGGCCTCCCAGGGAGTCAGGTCTGTGCCGTGCTAACAGTGTCCCTTGCCCACTCTTGCTTTCTCCTGTTGTCTTTCTCAAGCGGCATCCTCCATCAAGCCTCCTGCGCATAAATACATTCTTCAGTACATGATTCTAGGCAGAGTATCACCGCTGATTTCAAGCAAACTAAGCATCACTCAGATTTAAATTGCTTATTTCATGACATGTTAGCTGTGACAGTTTTCTCCACTGTTATGGTGTATAACTATGAATACACAGGTTGACAATAGCTTTAAAATATTTCTGAGAAACAGAGAAATTTGTTTAATCACTCTGTTAGGTGATTTCATATTATGAATTTATAACACACCACATCAAAACATCTCTAAACAAAATACATTTTGAACATTATTCTTTAAAAGAAAAATAAACTATTGATAGTGGTTATCTTAGTAGTATAAAAAAAGAATCTTTGGTGGAAAAGTTTGACTCAAATCTCTCACTTATCAGCTTCATTAACTTGGCCAATTCTCTTATTTAAATATTCTTAACCTTTAAAAGTAATTTTTTCATAGCTCAGGGGACTAAAGTGCCTGCTTAGGCAGAGTGCGGTGGCCTGGGTTCAATCCCCAGCATGCCGTGCTGGCCCCGCCCCCGGGGCGCACTGAGATAGAGATTGAGACTGGGTGTGGTGGCGTGAACCTGTAATCCCAGTGCTTGGAAGGCTGAAAATAGGGGAAACACTATGAGTCTGATCTTTGTAGTGAGACCCTGTAGACCCTGTAGTAACTACATTAAAAAAAAAAAAGAAGAAGAAGAAAGAAAGAAAATAACCAACTAAAAGTAATTTTTTCAAAGGGTGAAGTTGATGTCTAAAATTTTCACTTTGACCAATTTTATATGCTAATATCTATAATCTGAGGAACTACATTGAAGACAGCAATATGCCATAGAATAATCACTGTTGAGTAATTTTCACCTTGT